TCATACACATAGTTCTCTTGGTGAGAAACAGGTAAATGAAAGATTCTGGGATTCAGAAAAGTGAGAAAGCAATGAACTGAATTTGGCCCTGATCTGTTATCATTTGGCAAAAAGATACATATTCAGATTAGGAGAAACTATTTAACACCTGAATCTGACCTTCATTCAGCTTCTTTTCATCTCTTACACAGAGTATTCTATGTTTATTATGTTTATAAATAAATACAGGATTAAATGGGAAACTAACATTACTAAGAATCTTCTGTATGCCAGGCATCATGCTAGGTGCTTACTATATATTACTCATATAATCAGCCACTTGGAGGAGGTCACTTTATCTGCATTTTGCAGAAGAGGAAAGTTAGAGGATGAAGGGTTAAGTAAATTGCTAGTTAGGTAGATTAAGTAAGTTATCACGTAGATAGGTTAAATTAGATAGAACAGTAAATGCAAGATTAAGTAAACTGCTAATTTCAGGTTCCAGTTCAATCATTTACTGGATGTGTGAGCCCTGGGGAAACTCACTTAGTTCCTCAGAGTTTCAACAGCATCACAGATAAAACAAAGGAGGAGTCATCTTCCTCAGAAATTGAGGACTGGTGATGAAGTCAGGTATACATAGGACCCAGCACAATGTCTGGCCCTCAGTCAGTGTAGCAACCATTCCCTCACCTCAGTTTTCTTTCTACCTTGGCTTTTTATGCTTTTAAAAAAATTTTATGAAGGAGCCTGTTTGCTCAGAAGCCTGAAAAGGCCTTGCTATTTTAATAGGTGCCCAGAAACACTGTTCGTGGTGCTCATGGCCAACAGCGCTTCATTTTTCCTGAGGGTTGGCGTTCAAGAAAAAGAAACCCTCATCAGCCTTTGGCTTCCTTACAGCTTCAAAGAGGCAGTGATATGCGCAGCCCAGGGAAAGCAGCCTAGGTGAGTCATGCTTTCAACTTCCAACTGGTGACATGAAGGACAGAAAGTAGCCACTTCACTACTGCCAGCAACCACAGCAAATGACTGCACTGTGGCTTTCCCAGAGACAGTGTCAGGGAGCCAAGCGCATGCCCTCACAGCTGCCAGACTGCTCCACGAGTCTCAGCGGCCTCCTCAAGTTGAGCTTGTCAAGTTCCTGTGAACTGGCACACCAGGGATCCTCCTGCCACAGGACAAAGGACACCTTTTTTGGGAATGAATTCTCTGATGATGATAAAATCGTGTCATGATCTTACTTGCAGGTAGTATCAGTGATTCCAGCAGAAATCATGAATGGTTTGGGTTTAAAGCTTTTTTCTCCCCCCCATGAGCATTTCCTCTTGAGGGCAAGGAGGAACATTTATCACAACCTTATGATTCACTCTCCTAGACTGGCTGTGGCTTCATTTCATCTTTGAGTTCCTGGCCTAAGGCTTAAAAGGTGTCTGAATTGTTACCTGGAGGCAGATGCGTGTTCTCCTATCCTGGTCATCTGCTTTGGACAGTGGCCATAAAACACAAGCATCAGTGATTGTTCTTGTGTCATTCACCCTCCTTGTTCCTGTTTTGAACAATCCAGGCATGTATCTAAACCTTCTTTTCTAATTTACCTTTTTTTCTTACTAGTTTTCTTACACATTTTAGAATGATGATTTTCCTGGTTATACCACCCACCTTGGGAAACACTAATTGCGTTTACTGATTCTAGATTGATTTCTAGGTTCAGGATTTGGGGCTTTAGTGCACAAATCTCCTATCTTCCTACTTATATTGTTCATGACTGTGGATTCTGCTTACTCTTCTCATAGCCGTGGGCTTTAGAAGCAAAAGTCTGACATGCCACTGTTCTCCAAAATGAGGAAGTTTGGCAGCCTCTGTTCCTATTCGGCTTGCTTTTCTACCTTGACTGTTAACATATAAGTTCTTGTGAGAAAAGCCCTTCATTAAATGCCTAAACTAGGCAACAGCAAGGGAAAAAGCAACACAAGCACAGAAGGATGGCAAGAGCCTGTACCTGAGTCTGCTCAGGAGGACCTCTGCTGTTGGTGATCTGCCTAAACCCAGTGGGAGCAAGCATCTTAGAGGATGGGCTTGGAGCCTGAGTTAAACAAACAGCACAGCAGAAGAAGGAAGAAATCAGAAGTTTGGTCGTCAGAGTTTTCTGACTCCTACTCAACATTTTCCAACCCTGTTGGCCTCTGTCTAAAGCCACCCCTGTGGCTTTAGCACTGTTTATTTTTACTGGTATGTAACATCAGAGTAAATGATAAACATAGCTTATGGAAACCTTTGGCCTTAAATACTTTGAGGTTTTCCCTGAGGAAAGGTGCTTTATTTTACTGACAATATTTCCTTTTTTTCTTCTTTTACAACAAATAAAACAATAGCACTCATATTGTTTACAATTATTGAAATAATTTACTCTAATTTGAATTCTTATATATGAGAACCTTTACATACTGACAACTCCCATGGCATCTTTGTAAAGTATGGTAAACCTATGGCTGATTCATGTTTATGTTTGGTAGAAACCAACACAATACTGTAAAGCAATTATCCTTCAATTAAAAATAAATAACAAAAAAGTGTGCAGGTCATAAATATGCTGTCTAAAGACAGGCAAAGTGGGTCACAGAGATATGAAATGAGTTGAAATCACAATGTGAGTCAATGCAATGACGTATGAGTTCAGGTACCCAATCTGGGCTCTGGTGCACTTGACACAGACCTCACCTTCAAAGGTGACATTCTGTGGAGACCAGGGTACAGAAAAGGGTAGATTGATGCTCAGTTTTGAAGGTGATCATAGTTAAACCCTTTTTATATAACTTAATGATTTCACAGACTTCATGAATGTTAAGTCAGGTGAAGTTTAATTACATTTGCCCATTTCAAAAAATGTCTGACCAAGACTGTATGGTACTATGAATAATTATATGCCAACAAATTGGACAACCTAGAGGGAATTGACAAGCTTTTAGAAACATACAGCCCACTAAAACTGAATCAAGAAGAAATAGATAATCTGAGCAGATTGATCACTGGAAGTGAGATAGAATCCATAATAATAATCAAAACTCCTTGCAAACAAAAGTCCAGGACCAGAGGGCTTCACTGGGGAATTCTACCACACACACAAATAAGAACTTACACTGATCATTCTCAAACTTTTCCAAAAGGCTGAAGAGAAGGAAACACTCCCAAAGTTATTCTATGAAGCCACCATTACCCTGATACCAAAACCAGACAAAGACATTGACAAAAAAAAAGTTTTAACAAGACTGAAGTTGCTGACTGTTTCCTAACTCTGGAAGACATGGTGATGTAATACCTACAACTATCAGGGATTCTAAAACAGCAATAACAGTGCCCTCGTCTGCCCAGAATACAGAAGGATGACGGAACAAACACAGAAGAATGCAAATTTCTCTCTAAGAAAAGTCTGCTGGGAACTAGTTCCCACGTTGTTTCTGCCTCCAGGAAGAAAAGCCTATGACTTGCTTTCTGCCTGACTCCTTAATGGTCAGTGGATTCTCTGTTGGGGGGACCTAGATTTGGACACATTAGGAACTGATAATGAATATGAATTATTGGTGAAGTACATTTGAGCCCACAGTCTACTGGCTTCTGTTTCAGAACCATTCAGTCAGCCAGATATTTAATTTTTCAGTGAGGCAGAGAAAAGGGGACCTGTTCTGGGGTTGCTAAACAGCAATATATATTAATAATTCATTTTGCTTGGATTTTTAAATATAGTGTTACTTTACAATTATACAGTGCTTGGCCATTTTCAAATTTTCTATTGATGTTTGAAACAGTTTCAGGAGGTAGCTGTTGTTATTACCAATTTTACAGATGAGAAATAGGTGTAGAGATGTTATGTTGCTTAAATTGAGGTCTGCCAGATTCCAAAGTTTATGCTTTTTTAAAAAAAAATTTATTTTGAAATAATTATAGATTCACATGCATTTACAAATAAATGTACAGGTAAGTCCCATGAATTCTTCCCCCAACCTCCTCAAATGTTAACATCTCACACAACTAGCTGCTGCTGCTGCTGCTAAGTCACTTCAGTCGTGTCCGACTCTGTGTGACCCCATAGACAGCAGTCCACCAGGTGCCTCCGTCCCTGGGATTCTCCAGGCAAGAACACTGGAGTGGGTTGCCATTTCCTTCTCCAATGCATGGAAGTGAAAAGTGAAAGTAAAGTCGCTCAGTCATGTCCGACTCGTAGCGACCCCATGGACTGCAGCCTACCAGGCTCCTCCATCCATGGGATTTTCCAGGCAAGAGTACTGGAGTGGGTGCCATTGCCTTCTCCCTCACAACTAGAGTGTAGTATTAAAAGCAAGAAAATGACTTTGGCACAATCCACAGTACTTATTCCGAGTTCATCAGCTATGTGTGTGTGTGTGTGTATGTATGTGTAGCTGTATGCAATTTTGTCATGTTCTTTTATAAAGCATACACTGTTCTACCAATTTTAAATATGAAGTCAGATTATAGGAATGAGTAAAATGATCTTATCTGCAATAAAACATTATTTATCAACAATCATGTACATTATGCTGTATGTGCTATGCTAAGTTGCTTTAGTTGTGACTGACTCTTTGCAACCCTATGGGCTGTAGCCCGCCAGGCTCCTCTATCCATGGGATTCTCTAGGCAAGAATGCTGGAGTGGGTTGTTATGCCCTCCTCCAGGGGATCTTCCTGACCCAGGGATCAAACCCACATCTCTTCTGTCTCCTGCATTGGCAGGCGGTTCTTTACCACTAGTGCTGCCTGGGAAGCCCCAAGTATGTTATGTATGACCAAACAGCTTTTCATTTTTAGTTGCAATTAAGAAAAGGAAGAAATTCTACAAAGCTCATCTCTTGGGAGCACTAGACTGTGCTATATGCCTTTATGGGCACATCTTCTGTCAGTGATGATAGATATAAAATAGGGAAACACAATTTATTGGTTTATTGATAATTATGGCAGCAATCTTATACATGTCAGAAATTTCTATCAGTAAAGGAAAGGTGATCTTACCTTGACTTCAGATTTAGTCTCATCATCTTCCTTTTCCTCTGAGTTTAAATCTGTCTCTGCATAAGATTCCTCAGATGTTTTCTGATGAGGAACTAGAAAGATAAAGGAAACCTGCCATTAATTTGGCTAGTTGGCTAATAACTCAGAGCACTTAGCCTGACTTGGATCATGCTGATGTAGTTGATTAACAAAGCTTAATTGAGCTGCTACAGTGATTTTCAAAATAGTAGATGAAATTGGAGGTGAATATGAGATGCAGAAAAGAAAGAGTCCTTGATCCCAGGCACTTGATCCAAAGAGAAAAAAGTCATACCCAACACCATGGAAAACATCAAATTGCAACCAGTCAATCAAGGTAATGTGGTAAAAATGATGGTTTCCATCATTCCCATTTTTAAGGCCCAGTTAAAGAGTTGTTTTCTTCATGAAGTCTTCCTTAACTATTCTAAGCTTCATGGATTCTACTTATACACTGATGCTTTGGCATTTTCATTTGTAATGTATAACATTGCACTTGTTGCTCTTGGATTGGAAATTGAATTCTAGGTACCACATTCTACTGAGTGTATTCTTTCCATTATACAGGTAATTAATTAGTGATTATTAATAGAAAATTTGAAAAATACTAAAATCTTACCATTTAAACACACTATGATTATGTAAGAGGATAGAAATTGTTGCTAATCAGATGACCTAACATTCCAGAACTGTTGCAATCGCATTTATTAGTGGATAGGATGACTGTGTGAAGAATCTGCTGAGTCTGGAGGAAATTGGGCAGGCTTGCTCTTACTCTTAGCTCTCAATCATTCTGTCTCCCTCCTCTCCTTCCCACAGGGCACTAAGACGCCTGGGAAACAACCATCTTCAGCCTCCATGGTCATTTGGCAGTAAGATTGGGATCTGGGGAGGAGAAGCCCCAGTTAGATTTGTAGCTTTCTAATCCAGTTTTACCAGAAGGCTGCCCTGGGGGTGATGACTACAAGACTAGTAAGTAGTGGTACTTTACATTCTAACTTGTCACCATCACCACCCTTGTATATATAATTCCTTTGGGAAACTCACAGGATACATGCGATTAACCCAGGACAGGATATGAGCATTTCTAGGTCTGGTGGCCAAACTGTCATCCACCTAATATCACCAATACCACCCAGATGCTTATGTGTGGTAGACTTGATGGAGGTTGACTGTCTTGCCTCCACAGGCCCTTCCCAAGCCTCTGTGAGCCAACTGGAAGCCCCATGATCTTTCTGTGGGTTTTCTTTTTTTTTTTTTTTTCGTTCTATGTAAAAGTTTAATAAAAACATAAGAAAAAATACAAACAAAATAAACAAAAGTAGATCTGGTGGATCTGAATATCACAAGCAGAATTCAGGAATTTATATCTGATAACACCCCCTCCCCACTAACTATATAGCTCATCCATGTTTGAAATTACTGATGAAGATAGACCTTACCAGCGTTCCCCTGGTTTGGTTTGGTTTTTCCATTTATTTTTATTAGTTGGAGGCTAATTACTTTACAATATTGTAGTGGTTTTTTGTCATACATTGACATGAATCAGCCATGGATTTACATGTGTTCCCCATCCTGAACCCCCCTCCCACCTCCCTCCCCATCCCATCCCTCTGGGTCTTCCCAGTGCACCAGCCCTGAGCACTTGTCTCATGCATCCAACCTGGACTGGCGATCTGTTTCACACTTGATAATATACATGTTTCAATGCTATTCTCTCAGATCATCCCACCCTCGCCTTCTCCCATAGAGTCCAAAAGTCTGTTCTATACATCTGTGTCTCTTTTTCTGTCTTGCATATAGGATTATCATTACCATCTTTCTAAATTCCATATATATGTGTTAGTATACTGTATTGGTGTTTATCTTTCTGGTTTACTTCACTCTGTATAATGGGCTCCAGTTTCATCCATCTCATTAGAACTGATTCAAATGAATTCTTTTTA